TGCTGGTAACTCACAGAGGCTACATCTACACTAAGGCTGTGTAGACTGCATCCCTTTTTCGTAAAAAAGGGTTGCAAATTAGATACATCGCAATTGCTAATGAAGCGGGGATTTAAATCTCCCCCGCTTCATTAGCCTAAAAATGGCTGCCGCTTTTTTCCTGCTCGGAGCTTTGCCGGAAAAAAGCGCCAGTCTAGACACGGACCTTTCGGACAATAAAGCCTTTTCCGAAAGATCCCTTATCCCTCTTAAAATAAGGGATAAGGGATCTTTCGGAAAAGGCTTTATTGTCCGAAAGGTCCGTGTCTAGACTGGCGCTTTTTTCCGGCAAAGCTCCGAGCAGGAAAAAAGCGGCAGCCATTTTTATGCTAATGAAGCGGGGGAGATTTAAATCCCCACTTCATTAGCAATTGCGATTTGTCTAATTTGCATCTCTTTTATGAAAAAGGGATGCAGTCTAGACACAGCCCTAGTGTTTAAGCACTGTGCTGGAATAGGGTCTTCAACTGTAAACTGTTGTTGAGGGAATCCATTGTTTCTGTGTGTTTATACAGGAATGAGCTTATGGAAATCAGGTAAATACAGTGTCATTTAAGGTACAGATGGATTGAGAGATATAATACTGATGCATGGGAATTCTCACCCTGGAGGTGAAAACCTGGCACTACCTGGATATTCTGCTGAGTCTTTCCAGATCAGTCTGTTTCTGTCATCTGTAAATGCACAGCTAATGCACGTGGAATTTCCTTCCTTTCAAATATGAAGCTTTCAAAGAAAAACATCTCATAATTTATTGAAAACAGATTTATTGTATGTTCTCCATCTTACCTGCATAGCTCTGAGCTCTTCTGAAATCTACAGGGGGGGAAAAACAATTATTGTCTGGACAATCTACATCTACAATGGCTACATCTACACTACACTCCTTTTTTGGAAAAAGATACACAAATTGCATACCTTTTTCTAATTCTTTTTTAGGAAGAGGCTTTTCTGAAATTTGGCCTATCTACACTGCGTCGGGAAAAACCTACATTGTCAGAAGAGTCCTTCTTCCTCATGAAATGAGATGTACAGGGCTTCCAACAAAAAATGTTGGAAGAGCAGATGTATTCCCTGGATATGGCGAAGATTTTCCAGGATACCTCTGGTGTGGCCAGTGATATACAATGACATTTCAAACATCTTTTGCTTAGCCATGTGTTTATACATAACACATGTATCAATTAGATTAAAAAGCACAGAGGTGAGTATGCTAACTTAACAATGTTCAATTCAATGATATCTACATATTTTTAAATAACTTCACTTACCCAGCTCTCTTGAGAGTAGGTCTGAAATGAAAGGATACTTCTGTAACTGACCCAAACTCATGCTTTTCTGACGCGGGTTTAAAATTCTGAGAACTCTGTTCAAACAATGCTCAGTGCACACTGGGGCTTGTGCAATTCCTATTTGTTGTAGAAGTTCTTTAACCATCCCAACATTCCCATTATAGCTAATGGATTTACTTCCCTCAGTAAGACCTGGGCTCTTAGTTTTAGAGCTTCCTTATAGGAAGAGTAGCAATAACATGGCCACTGAGGTTGAAGATTCAATCAGAATTGCTCACTTACTATCCTCCCTTTAAAATCCCAAGCAAAAATGTTCATGGCAGTGGTCTATTCCAGTCTCTATGCTGGGAATATCACTGACACAAAGCAACAAGTAATATTGGTTGACTCCGTTATATAAATACTGCTTCAATATCTTTATAGTCAATTGCCTGCAGTGTAGTATCCCGTTAACTCAGCCATTCAGAGCATCTTTGGCCAAAAGAGACTGTCAGGGATCTGTGCTGGCAGTAGTAGCCTCATAAATCTTATGTAAAATACTATACCTGTATCATATAAACAAGCAGCAGAAATAAATGGTTTGAGCTCTTATTTTAAACAGCATCTTTTACCAGTGCTATTGTCAAGTACTATTGCATCCAGTACTGTAAAAAAAATTGTGAGGCAGCAGTGCAGTGTAGAATGTGTTAGCTTCTATGACTGCTGTCTCTGTCCTAGCACTGTTGCAAAAAACTAAATGAGCCAAATTCATCCCTGATGCAGTTGCAATGGTGGTGACAGACTTAACACAAAGATGATTAAAATAAATAAATCCCACAAGAGCCAATGTTAATGTTCTCAGCATGATTGCTTGTGCATCATCATATTATAATTATATATCCAAACCTGAATAAGTACAAAGCTCTCAATACCCTTATGATTCTGCAGTTATGTATCACAAGTGCCTTCTGCTGAATAGAATCAGAACTGTTGAAATGTATTTCACAGTCCCGTTAGCTACAGAAGATGCTCAGCTGAAACAGAAGCAACAGGGGCTTGTGTTATAGAAATGGGAGAGATCTGGATTCCATCTGTGCTCTTGTCATGAAAATCCAAGGCTACGTCTAGACTGCAAGCCTCTTTCGAAAAAGAGCGTCTAGACTGCAAGCAGTACTTTTGAAAAAGCAAGCCGCTTTTTCGAAAGAGAGCACCCAGGCAGTCTGGATGCTCTCTTTCGAAAAAGCCCTGTTTGCATTCAAGAATGCCTTTTTTCAAAAGAGCACTTTCGAAAAAAGGTGTTCTTCCTCGTGAAATGAGGAGTACCGCCGTCAAAAGAAAAGCTGCTTTCTTTCAATTTAATTTTAAAAGAACGCGGCTGTAGTCTAGACGCAGGGGAAGGTTTTTCGAAAAAAGGCTACTTTTTTTCTAAAAGGGTGAAGTTTTTTCGAAAAAAGACTACTTTTTTTCTAAAAGATCCTGCAGTCTAGACACAGCCCAAATGTGTAGACTAGAAACATCTGATGTCCTAATTGGATTGTGATCCCCTTCAGGAAGGGTCTATTTCCTTGTTCTGTTTGTGCAGAGCTTAGCCAGCAGGGCCCTTCTCCATAACTGGGGCTGCCAGGCACCACCATAAACATAATAAAAATGTACAGCACCTAGCACTGTGGGAGTCTCGGGCTGTGCTAGTGGATCCTAGGCAATATCATAGCTCACAAAATAAATAATACTCAGCACCTAGAAAGTGCCATGACTGGGATCCTAGAGGATGCTGCAATTCACCTAATATATATTGTACATTTCCTAGCACAGAGGAGTTTAGGTGGGGAATTAGTCATTCTAATGTTACTATTTGTCTGCAGCTTTGAATCAATGCATTAAGCAAGACAGACTCATAATCAAAGGAGAATATTTCACAATCCCAGGAGAGCGGGAATCACCGAGGCAAAGTTTAGCGTTCACAATGCAGAAAGCAGCGCTCACACTGTGAAACTGAAAGGCAGGTATAATGAAAACAAGAGGAAGAACAGGTTGGATGCCCACAGTCCAGCACCCTCAGGACCAGAGCTGTTCCAGACCAGGGAGTTTGTTGGATGAGGGGAAGTCTGTGCTACCCTGCTGGCTGCCCCGCTGCTGGCTCCTCTCCTTGGGGCTCCCCACCCTACTGCTGCCCTGCTAACACTGGCAGACCAGGTCTTCCCCCTCCTGTCTGCCCATTGTAATGGGGGGTTCCCCCTGAGCTGCCCTGCATGGCCATTCCCCATCCCACTACCACCAAGATTTCCCCTGCTGGGGCAGCCTAACCACCCTGGCCCTGCTGCCTCTGGGGGTTTCTGCAGCTTCCAAGCACACTGCCACAGGAGATTTCCCTGTTAGGGCTGAGGCTTCTCAGCCACCGGCTATCCCCACTGCTGCTAGAGCTTTCCCAGGGTTACCCATCCAGGGCCGCCTGTTCGCTGCTGCTGGCTGGCCCCTCTATCATTAGGGCTCCCCAGACGCCTGGCCTGCTTTATGCCAGGGGTTCCCTTGCTGGAGCTGGGACTTCCTGGCTGCCACCTGGCCCCACTGACACTGGGAGTTACCTGGCCCAGTCACTGCTGGCCCAGCCAGGATTCCCCAGCTCCTGCATTCTTCTGAATAGCTCCCACTCCCAGCCTTGGGGCTCTTTGTTTCGATAACATCCATGGTCCTTCTGTACCATGGATATTGATGGACCAGAGAGTCCCAGATTTGAGCTATTCGACCTGTGCTGTTTTCATCCAACATCCCATCAAACTGGCATGTTAAGGTGGCCATGCATATAAATGGGTTCGAAGAAGGACTTGATATATTCATGGAGGATGCATACGTCAATGGCTATGAGCCAAGGTGATGTGCAGCCTCATGCTCTTGGTGACCCTAATTCTCTCACTGCCAGAAGGAAAGTTTCAGATGGGCCTCCCCACGTTTGGCTGCTATATACACTCCTCCTGTTGATCTGGTATGGACCACTGAAGGGAATAGGATCGTGGTCTTGGTCAGTCTTTACTTTACCCACTATGGCTGTTCTTAAATTCTTGAATAATGAATCAAACCTGGGACCTCTGGAGTAATGTATGAGCTTTGCCACAAGAGCTTAAATCCAGCTGACTGTTAGCTAAGGCTGTAGAGCAAACTAATTGTTCTCTCTCTAGTCTTAGTGCCCCCAGATGGAACAGTGCACAATACCTGAAAGGTGTGTGGATTACAGAGGCAGAGTCTCCCAGGCTGTTCACCTTCAACTTGCCATAGACCAGTTTTTCTTAAACTTTTTAAGATCTCAGAACACGAAACAATCATTTTTTATGTGGAACACCAGGAGATAATTTTTCAACAAAAACAAACAAACAAACAAAAGGTTGCAGCCCCTTTAATTGCCGCGTGTGTCCCAACTGAGCTTCCATCTCCATGGGGGGAAAAAAAGTTAAGAGGCCATGGTAAACCTCTGACTGTCTCACCGCACACAGTTTAAGAAACATTGCCATAGACACACTGACCAGAACATTCACCTCTTGTAATTTATAACAAGTAACAAAATAAACAAGTTTACTTACCAATGTTTTCTTGTATGTCTTGAATTGCTGCAAAATAGTAATTAAAATTACTGCAGAGAGAGAATATGAACTGAAAGAGTGAGCAAAAATCTATAGAATATTCTGCAACAGTGCATGCATGGTAGGAATCCAGCTACACTTTCACTCAATGTGCTATAACCTCTGTACTCTGGTCTCTTGCGCACATACTTTTAACGCAAGAGTTCTTGCTTTAAAGTATTTGCGCAAGAGAACATCTACACTGGCATGTGCCTTTGCACAAAAGCTGTGCTTTTGCGCAACAGCATCCCGTGCCAGTGTAGATGCTCTTTTGTGCAAAAAAGCTCCAGTGGCCATTTTCGCCATCGGGGATTTTTTGCACAAAACAATTCTGAGTTGTCTTCACTGGCCCTCTTGTGCAAAAGCATTTGCGCAAGAGGGCTTTTTCCTGAGTGGGAGCATCATTGTATTTGCACAACAACACTGACGATCATACATTAGATCGTCAGTGTTCTTGTGCAAATTCAAGTGGCCAGTGTAGACAGCTGGCAAGTTTTTGCGCAAAAGCAAGCGCTTTTGCGCAAAAACTTGCCAGTCTAGACGCAGCATGGGTGTCCCTAATTTGGGAACAGTCTTGATGTAGAGTCTGGGAAGCGGAGGTAGAAGTGGCTCTTCACCCTTCCCTCCAGGTGGGGGAAAGGTAGTGCAATGATGCCACTCTGATGGAGGCTTTTCTTCACTGCTCCCAATGTGGCAAGGGGAGAGGGCAGTGCCTGGGAGTATCAGGGACATGGAGCACCAGGTAAGCATCCTAACACCATTCTCCGCACTCCTTCCTTGACCAGGCAAAAAATTTAATTCAACAAACTCAGGTGCAAATGTATGGTAAGCATCCTAACACCATTCTCCGCACTCCTTCCTTGACCAGGAAAAAAATTTAATTCAACAAACTGAGGTGCAAATGTATTTAATATGCTACAAGGGCTCATAGGTGACTCATATCCAGCTTCTCATCCTCTGTAATCCCAAGGTCCTTTTTTGCCAAACTCCCTCTGAGCCAGGCAGTCCCCAGCCTGTAACAATGCTTGGGATTCTTCTGTCCCAAGTGCAGGACTCTGCACTTCACCTTGATGAACTTCATCAGATTTCTTTTGGTCCAATCATCCAACGTGTCTAGATCACTCTGGACCCTATCTCTGCCCTCCAGCATATCTACCTCTCCCCCTAGCTTAGTGTCATCAGCAAACTTGCTGAGGGTTCAATCCATCCCCTAATCTATGTCATTGATAAAGATGGAGGAGGTCTAAACTGGATATTAAGAAAAACTAATTCCCTAGAAGGATGGTGAAGCACTGAGATGGGTTCCCTTGGGAGGTGGAAAAATCTCCATCCCTAGAGGTTTTGAAGTCCCAGCTTGACAAACCCCTGCCTGGGATGATTGAATTAGGGTTGGTCCTGCTCCAGGCAGGGGGCTGGACTCCATGACTCCTGAGCTGTTTTCCAGCCCTGGGATTCTATGATTCTATTAAGATCAGAGGCACAGAGAAATGAGTGGCAGTCAGTATCCAGTCCCTTATATGGGAGCAATTATTATGGTGACTGTGGGTAGGCAGGTGAATATGATCAACCTTTCCTGCAGTTCAGTCTCGTTTATAAACAATTTCATTCAAATAAAAATGTGCTGCTGTTTATTTTAACAAAGCAGCTAGTGACAAAGCTCTGCCTGTCCACACTGAGCCAGTTTATAACATGAGACTTACCTATTGCATCTGTCCTTTTATTTGTCTCTAAATGAACAGACAAGAAACATGCAAGTTACTGGAGCAGTGATTTGCTTTACTTTAGCGAGTTCAAAGATTCAGAGATTCCGAGGGGAGATACAACAATTGTGATTATCTAGACAAGGGGTGGCCAACCTCTAGCTCCAGAGCCAGCTGTGGCTCTTCTGAAGTTAATATGCAACTTCTTGCTCAGGCACTGACTCCAGGGCTGCAGCTACAATTGCCATTTTCCAGTGCTCAACTCCTGATTCTACCTCCTCCTCCAAGCATATTGTGCCCTTGCTCCTCCCCTCCCCTTCAGAGCCTCCTGAATGCCATGTAACAGCTGGCTGCAGTGGGCAGGAGGTGTGGGGAAGGAAGAGGGGCTGCTGGTGGATAAAAGATACTGGAGGTGGGAGAGGAGGCACCTGCTGGGGACTGCTCACAAAGTACTGTAGCTCTTTGGCAATGTACATTTGTAAACTATGGCTCCTTCTCAGGCTCAGGTTGGCCACACATGATCTAGACCTGTGATGAACAACCTAGGCAGTGAGCGGGCCACATGAGTGACTTCCTTCATCTCAGCAGACCACAAGATTCTCATAATCAAGATAGTCTCCCGGCAAAGGGTGGTTTTCCTGACTACCCTTGCATCCCTAGAGTTTGTGGGGTGTGCCACCTGACCCATTGAAGCGCTCCGATTGGCTGCAGAGAGATCTCACAGCTCTCACAGACAGTGTTCTGTGCAATCAGCATCCACCTCACTCCACAGGCCCATGTTTACATGCATGTCACTTTAGCAGTACCAGTCGGATAAAAGCTATGTGTATGGAATAGCAATGGGCAATGGTAAACAAAATGTCTCATGAGAGATGCATAGAAACCCAAAGGCCCACTTGCATCTCTTGGGTCACAGGCTGCCCCCCACTGTTCTAGCCCGACCTCCTTTATAACACTGGCTCCCAGAACACTGGCCCCAAACAATTCCTGGGGTCTTGGGTGAGACCCAGTGAGATGGGCTGCTGTAGCTCATTCATACCAATCCATTGTTAAAGCAGCTTCAAGCCTCTGGATATGAAAAGCGTTCCTAAAACAATAAATAACCAGTAACTGTTTTTAAACATATCTCTAAACATCACCACACACATACAGGAGCATTTCCCATAGAAATGACCTGTCCTCAAAGTGCCCTATTGAATATTGAAAATTTGAACTCGTATAAGAAGTTGATTGAGTCTGTTAAACAGATAAAATTGTTTGGGTGTGCTAGTATTTCTTCTATGGGAGCAGATAATATACATGCACAAGGGAAACAGTGGATCATAAGACTCTTTGTATTCTCACCTAGTGCATTGAGCAGACGTTCTTTTTCTGAAAGAAATAATATTTAACATCATTGTAAAATAGAAGTAAAATGTTATTCAGTGTATTTATTGCATTGAAGAAATATCCATTATACTTTTCATCTATAGCTATAATTTGTTTTAAAATAAATAATTTATATGCTATGAGACCAATTCTGCTCTCATTTTCATTGGTGCAAATCCAGTGTAAACTGACTGATTGAATCCATAAGAATATCACAGTATTTTTCACTTAATTTGAATATTTGCATAGTGTGATGTAGCAGGGATTGTGCTGCTGAGATATGATAGCAGGGATTGTATTGCTTAATTGTGCTTTGTGTGATTCCCTCATCCTGGGCACATCAACACTGTCTGGAGGAAGGGGAATGACTCACTGCAGAAGTGTGTTTGGCCCCTCACACTCAAGGGCTAGACATAGGAGATAACTCCTGCCTGGAAAAGGGAACAAAGGAAAAGCGGGACTGATATCAGGTGGGGAGTCAGGTCTAGGGGAAAGATCAGTCTCAGCGGTGTTAGGATGAGAGAAGGGGCTTAGAGCAAGAAGTGGGGAGAAGGGCCCAGAACCCTTTTTCCCTGAGAGGATAATACTGGCTGCTCTTGGTCCCTGTGTTAACGTCAATCGTATGCTACACCAACAATCCTTCCATTCTACTTTCTGTCTGAGAATCATATCTGGCTGCAGATGGGGCTGTGGGGCCTGATGACTCCCTCATACTCCATAACCCATTGTTTAGTACCATTTTATGTGTGACTGAAAGCGAGCCTTCCTTGTAGGCCTTATCAGGTTTTTATTTATTTATTTCCAATGAAAAATTACAGATTTTTGACAAAGAGTAAAACATTTAAAACATTCAGGGACAAGCTTTAATTTAAGAAGTGAAAAAAAAAATCATAACAAATGGAACATATCAACTTATTTGATCCTTATTGGCGAATGCAGTATTCCTGTGCTTTGATATGTCACTCACCTTAGACATTAGACTATATTTCAGTGATGGAGAAATACTGACTAGGACCAAAGGTTTATCTTAAAATCTATTATCTTATTATGTGGGTTAAGTCAATCAGATTTCAGAACGGGAAGAGTTTATGTCTATCCAGTTTAGATTGATTTTACTGTGGTTGTTTGTGGTAACCTAGAGAAGCTGATGTTAGTTTTCATTCAATATGAGATTAACACCTAATTAACTCAGATTACTTAGAATTAATTCAGATTACTTTGGTGATAAAAACTGAGCAAATGCTTAAGTGTTACATTTTATTTCAGCCTAGGCTTATTTCACTTAAATTCATCAGCGATCTAATTCCTGTTCCAGTAGTTTGATCTGTCTTTTGAGAGTACAGATAGGGCTGAATATAGGAGCTCATGGGATTGGGAAATGACTCATTTGTTCTTTTCTTTCCTTTCTTCCCCCTCCCTCCAGTATGTTCGATGTTAAATGTTCTTAGCATCTGAAAGACTGAGCTGCAGCAGGTTTAGATTTATTCATAAGTACCCAAACTTGCTGGCTTTCTTATTATTTGTCCTGTGTTCCCTAAATAGAGAACTTGGCATGCTCAACAGCAAAGTTCACTCATCACAAAATTCTCCTTGATAGAGAGCGAACATCTCATTTACTATTTAAGACCTCAGAGTAATGGTATGTCTACACATTAAAGCTATTTCAAGATACCTTTTGTATCCCAAAATAGCTTCCCTGCTTCTTCACAAGCCACCTATTATTTCAAAATATTTTTCAAAATAACAGGCACACTATTTCGGCATCCCAGTAACCCTCATTCCATGGGGGTTAAAGGAGGTCTTGAAATAGCCTATTTTGAAATAAACTCAAAATAAGTACATAGTGCAAATTGTGTATCTTATTTTGAGCTAAGGGCGCTGTGTAGGCACAGCCTAAGAGAGATGCAAGTGGTGCACAGGACTTGTGTTGGCTCCACTGAAAGCTTCAAAATGTAGCTGTTCTAAGCAGATGAGAAAGAACTTTTTAGTAGTCTCAATCAATGTTCCCTCTAAGCCTTTCCATCCATGGGGGGGGGGGGGGGAAAATTACATCACCAATAGAAACACATACTGTTGACACATCACCGATAGAAACACAAGTCAGCACTGTGGGCACTCTGGTAATTAACTGGATAGCATTTGAAACTCTCCTTAGCATCCTCACAAGTGCTCTGCTTTCAGGGAACTCTGGACTCAATCATCCTACAACAAACAGCTGTAACTGAGTCTGTAAAAGAAGCTGTCCCACTGGCAAAGCAAAGTCTACACCCACACATAATTTGGTTATGTTACTCAAGAAGGGGTGGCTCATTCATATCTCTGAGTAACATGTCTTGTACTAATCTACATTGTAGCACATATATAGCCTGAATTTCACGTAAGCTTTTTTTTGAGGGCATATGTGGGGCTTTAGTTTCAATAGCTCTGGTGTAATCCTTAGTGATAAAGGAACTCAAAGATTCTTATATAAACAATGGTCCCAGTCCTCAGTAATTTCTTTACCTGGATAAGGACTGACACCTCTGTGATTCACATTTTCCAAAATTTCAGTGGATAAGGACTGACACCTCTGTGATTCACGTTTTCCAAAATTTCAGCATGCCATGTAATAGTGTCTCCGTGAATCTGACTCATGGAAATATTTCTAATACCTTATGTTATATCACATCAAAACATATTTACCTTCTTCCATTTTTTTCTTTTCATTTACTGTAAACACAAAGAATCACAAGGCAATGTGAATTCCTCTTAAACTTTTCTCCAAGCCTTATTTCAATCCCAAAGCAAATGTAAAATATAGGGC